CTTCACCAGACTCGACAGAGTAAGTTGGGGCAAAATACTTGATGAACAAATATCACACAGTGGTGGTAATCATAGATGAGATTTTCCATGAATGCGTACGAAAACTTCCAGACTTGGATTACAAATAACTTTCCAGGTGTAGGAATTATTCCACAGAACCATTTTAGTAAAGGTTGATATAGTTAATAAATATAGCAGTTCAGGTGTGGAGACGTTAAAAACTTTCAAATCTTTCAATTTTAAGCCACTTCAGTAGAAAATCATTTCAGAAAACTAGCTGCACTGAATAAGTCAAGTTAGAGCTGCTCTTTATTTCCAATAAACATCAAGGTTCAACCACAATGTTCAAAATCTACACCTCCAGTAAATTTATCAGTGAAAACAGCCATACCTCCTCTGCAAGATCTCCAGCAACTTCTCTAACAACTTCACATAAATTGTTTTCAGTGAAAGACTCGTTTATCCAAAAACTGACATCTTTGTAACAAGGAGGATACTGAAACGAAAAGAAAGTTTATAAGAATTGTTAGCAAGCAGTAATTTACCCGCAGTAATTTACCCTAAAACCAATAGTTAGATCCACAAGCAACAAAATCTTAAGAAGCCATTTGTTTTTCAAGGCAATAAAAAAAATCCAGTCATACATAATCATTTCTTTGTTCTTTCTTTTACTGAAGAAAGTTGGGGTTCCACCATAAAACCAATTGGCAATATGGGGAGTAGCCCAACCTCTTATAAGCCCATGCAAGGTCCCTCTTCCCATCAATGTGGGACTCATTCTCAATAGCATCATGGTTCAATTTTTGCTTTCTATCTTTTGATACAAGATATAACAAAAGGGCAGCACAAGCTCTAAGCATACGAGGACAGAGGGAGGGAGATCAAATATCTCACAAAACTATATCTTAATTTTACACAATAATACGTGACCAGAAAACTCAGTAACCAGAAAGTAAACATGCTAATTTCCTATGCAACAATACCTTGGAAAATGGCTTGAATTTGATTCCCAGCTGGCCACTTGAAAACTATATCCAAAATTGGATAATTAGATATAATGGATTAGAAAAATGCCAAGGACTTTAATACTTGCTTATTTCACTTGTCAAGACTTAAAATTGAGCAAATGGAACATATCTAAAAAAAGAGAGGGGAAAAATCATATTTAACGGATTGAGGAACCACCTGAGAGGTGAATCTCTCATCAGTTGACCAGAAAAGCCGAATATCAGGGATGTCAAATAAAACCATTGCAAGCCGTTCCAGTCCAAGTCCAAAAGCCCAAGCAACGTTGTCTGTTTTGCCACTTCTCCTCAATATTTCTTGTTCTGTCACCCCACAACCCAAAACCTCCAACCATTTTTCCTGGTATTGTATTCAACATTTATAAAATTGATTTAATGCTAAAAATATTCATGCCTCCAAGCAGCAATTGAAAAGTATGAAAAGGGGTTTCAAAGCATGAATTGTAACAACAGAAAACTTTCCTAAACATAAGAACCACGACTTATAACAGTGGCCACTAGTTCAATGTGAGATTTGATTATCAACAGGTGTCCCAGTTCAAAGCAAGTCAAAAGCACTAGTTGGATATGAACAGAAATAATCAACAATGGAAACAGTCAGAATAGAAAGTATCTCCAAGAAATTGCATAGATATATTTTTGATAAATTTTACTTTTATTACTTTTTCATCTACAGAATAGAAAGGGGCGCAAGGGTCACTACATGTAATCTAGGATAGCTATCAAGTTTAATCTAGCGTAAACACCTACTTGCACTCTAGAACTCCCAGATCTCACAGGCAGCAGATAAAGACAAAATCATACTGGCAACTAATATACTACAAAGAAACACTAAATTTAATCCAACAGTTGGTTTCAGATTTGGATGATTTTGGGTAGACCTGATCTCTGAGAGAAGACCTAAAAGATAGAAAGTTAGAATCGTTGAGATACATTAAGGAGTGGGCCAAACAAAAATGTGTGTCAAAAGTGTGTGTCCCAGGATCCTAACTCATATGTATCAGAAATAGCATGAAGTAGATTCACAATCCACAAAGAAACACGGAATTTTGTTTCGTGTCCCAAAATGATCAGTGTCAGTAGTATACCTGAAAAAATATCTCAAGTTCAAATGATGGGTTGGTAAATGGGAAATATGTATCAACCCAGCGCATTTCCACAGAACCTGAAAATTTCAATCTGATAAACTTAGATGTTCCAAAACAACTGTATCAATCCACCAAAAAAAATAAATTGTATCATATAACAAATAAACAAACAAATTAAATAAAATTAAGAAAACACTTGAAGAATTTTTTAAGCAAATAAAACTCCATATGCTTAATAGCTATTTGTTGAATGCTAAAGCACTCAAATGGCACACCAAATTACAGCTTGCCTAGGAGATACGAAGCACAGTGGTTCAAGATAGATTTTACCAAATAAGTGGCGTGCCAATCCCTCTAGACATTTCTTTAAATCTCCAGCAGCATAAGATGTGCCATCTGTCCCAGAAGCCTCCCAATCTTGTGGAGAAAAAACACGGACACCTTCCATCTATATGGGCAGGAAATAAATTCATTCGTTCAGGCAGAATTCCAATAAGCTAAGCAGCATTGAAGTCTTATTCTAAGCATTAGAGATAAGAAACCTGATGGAACACAGGGTAATGTGTTGAGTCAATGGAATCCCTACGGTACACATCTCCTGTTACAAGGAAATGAGTATGTCCTCTTCTCAATATTTCTGCCTGATGAGCACTTGTATGACACCTCAAAACGGTTTGAGAGTCAATATAGTACGTATCATTATAACTTCGACTTACATGATCAGCAGGAACCAAAACATCGTCAAAATTCTGAAAGAATTGAAATTTGATTCACTGTCAAGAAGTAAGTCACAGGGTTCTTACAATCTTAGAAGGATAAAAGAGCACTGCAATAACACATATTTACTATTCTTCTTTTATGAAAAATGCATGACTTAATTAATGAGGTTAACAATCCAGAAACGAACCTAGGAGATATGAATGATAAATGCTATAAACTAAAGATTCTTGTCCCCTTCATTTGGTGTATTTCATGGCCCAATTTTTAAAATAAAATCAAGTTCGTACCTCTTTCACAGAGACAATTGGGCAAAGATTATCAAACTTATCGAACTGATTTGAGTAATTGGTGTCGAAATACTCATATATTGCATTCTTCAAAATCCCAAGTGGGTGCTGATCTCTTCTGTGGAGTTGCAGTCCAAGCTTTGCAAAAATTGTATCCGGTACATTGTTTGTGGGGTCATCCCTCAGCACATCTACAAACCCATAATCCAAAACTATCAAGCCACTAACAAATCCTTCAGAAAACCAAGTCTGCAACTTTCCAATTGCACATATCCGACAGAGCATCAAAAGCAACAGATGATGAGAATTCTAACATGCTTTGAAATGTTTGTTAGACTTAGGCCATCAAACAGACACCCGGAAACAAGTATTCCAGAGTGCAATGGATTTATGTGAGATACAATTCTCTAACAAGTATACAAAACAAAATGCAAAACTTTTCAACCAACCAAATTGCATTACGAACAAAATATACTGCAGAAGTTAATGAATAATAGAATAAATGGACTAACCAAAGTTGTAAAAACTTAAAACCAATTCAAATATTACAATTTCACAAAAAACTACTACTTATGGAACGAAGAAATTCCACAGTTTCAGGTTGTAGAAATGCAAACCAAGTACAAAAATTTCACCACCACTGCAAACCCAATACAGAAAAACAACAAAAATATCAAAAACGAGAGCAACCCAGATGAGGGAAATGGTCAAAGTTACCATCTTTAGCAATCTTGACGCCGCCCAGCTCGAGCACGGAAGCCACCGGCTGCCTCCATTTCTTGTTGTGAAGCTTATCGGAGGAAAGAGCTGTAGAGGAAGAAGAGAAGGGCAGGCAGAAAGTGAAGCTTCTGAGGCAAGCTGTGCGGAGAGAAGGTGAGGTTTTGGAGAAGAGAGTGGTCTGCGCAAATGAGAGGGCCGTTGCCATTCTCGTTGGGACTGGAGAGAGCTGTGCGTGGCAGAGTCTCCGTACTCTTATCGATGATTTGGGGCTTTGCCTTTGTGTTTTTTTTTGGTTTCTTTCTTGAATTTATTTGTCTCGGGTCGGAATTTGGGTTTGAAAAGCCCAACCTCGCAGCTAGGCCCAAATCCACTGATGTAATTTCAAACCTCGATGCTTGTTTTGAATGTTCCTTAGCTAAGTTTATTATGCTGTTGTAAAGTTTGAATTTCAAACTAGCGTGTACATAGGGTATTTCAAACCCACTGATGTAATCTCTATGATTTTATAAATACAAGCGACCCTTGATTGAAGGGGTGTGCAAAAACTAACTGAAAACCTAGCCGGCTAAAGTTTTACATACTGTTCCACTAATAGTATGTTCACAAAACGATAACTTTTCTCGTTTATTGATAGATATATTGTACATGACTGATTGGTACGATTGTAACTGTGATTTGATACGAACGCAATTGGGATAAATATTTTCTCTTCATCGGCAAAATAATATAGTTCGTAATAGTTAGACTCAAGACCTATTTACACACAAGTAGAGATTAAAACGCTAGTAAACCAATTCGTCATTGGCATGGAGTATGCTTTAAATTTGATTAATTCATGAGAATCGTACCTAATATTAATCAAACCAAAATTAATACCGATAGTATTAGTGGCTTCGTTGCCCTCAGTTGGTCTCAGTTGGTATAGATGTTGATTGCATAAAATGTTTTGGTCCAGTTAATACTAGACTCTCTAGATTTGTACTTTCTGAATAGACTTAGAGAAGAAAGACCACTTTGCTTGATTACGTTTCCAACTAATTGTATAATTATATTGTGTATCATGTCGTGTTTCTGACATACTGAAAAATGCATATGACATTTTCATCATCGTATGCTCATTCATTGGATGTCAAAACGAATACTTCTTTATTTTATTTTAAGTTGGAAATAAACAATCAGTGAACCTCAACACCAAAAAGAACAAACAGTGCAGAAATTAGAGGAGGATTCAACTGCGAAAAACAAAACGATCACTGAACCTCAACTGTTACATTGCAAAGAAAAACAAGAAATTAAAAACCATTCCCGCTGGCAGTCATCCACAATGCAATAGTTAAAAAAACAAAAATAAAGAGTAGATCTTACTTGCATTGTCACGTTCTAAAGCTCATTCTTTTAACGGATTGAGAACATGACCAATGAACAGAACCGTTCCAGTCACTTCCTCTCTGACTATAAACATAAACGGGTGATCAGCCACAAAGTTTATCGTTTTCGGTATAAATGGTTCATCATCACCATCCGCTTCATCGTCAAAGTCGCAAAGAGAAACAGCTGCAGCTTCTGTGCCTTTTTCATCAACTTCAATGAAGGATTTGTGAATTATTTTGGCCTTATCTATACGTGACTCCACCATCCCTGTCAAATCACCTTCACCATTGAAAGGAAACACCAATCCTACATCCATGAGAACTTTAGAAGCTTCAAAGCCGGAGCTAATCTTAAACCTTGGGATTACAAAGGCACCAACCGCGACTCTAGTTTCAGGGCGATGACGATCTAAGAAATCAGGCTCGGAACAAACTCTCTCAACAAAAGCTGGGAGCCCATCTTTCGCATCAGGAAGTAACAAGTACATACAAAATTGCCTCTCATTGTCTTCGCCTTGTTCGTAAGGAAGCTTCGAGACCTTGAAGCCGTCAAAGGCTTTTACAAACTGGTAATCGTAGCTTCTCATGAAGCGCGCCTCAACAGAAGTACCGTCAAGAAGGTGGAAGTAGTCCTCTTCTAGTGTCTCCGATGTATCAAACGGGTCACTCCAATCTGCTTTAAAGTGTAAAGCATTTGAAAATATAAGCCTGGTATTGGTTTGGACTGTCCCAGGAGCAAGAACCTCAGTGATAAGGCCCTTCGTCGCCTTTTCAGCCCATGAGTTCACTTCGGCTCTCGCTTCCTCAGGGTTGGTTTTAAAGTTAACTTGTTTTATAGCCGCCTTGTGAACTGTGTCCACAACCTCTTTGAAAGAAGGTTTGATGGGGAGAGATTCCTGAACCCAAAGGCCATTGGCAAAGTTCAGGCAAGGACCACCTCTAGCGGATCCGTCTGCGAAGATTAGAGGGACAAGATGGGAGGCGAGGGAGTTGAGTTGGTCGGTGGAGTTGGACTTGAGGAAAGAGAGCAACTGCTCCTTCGTGGGACCCTTCGACCCTGCCGTCAACAGCCACAACACAACCTGAATGGACAGCGGCGAGTACACCATGTTTTTGTCTTTGCCTTCAGTGGTGAGCAGTTGCTTGGTAATTCTTAGTGCAACATCGGTTAGGTCGCTGATAGAATTTTTGAGATCCATTCTTTGGGCAGGGAGGGAGGTGAAAGTGCTTGATCGATCGTTATTTGGGAGAGGAGAGACACCAGGCAAGTGGGAGAGGAGAGATAAATATTCAACCCTAAAACACTCACGGCTGTATTGTAAAGTAACCCATTAGGCTTCTTATATAGGAAGAAAATCATGGACCTTGGGAGGTGGAAGTCCATATATCAAGAATATTTAGGACTTAGGAGTTTGTATTCGATTGGAATTCTGAGACATTTTAATTTTTTTTAATAAATTTAGGGGTATTTAATTAGGATTTTAAGTAATTTTTTGAAATTCAATCAGAATTTTATAATAGCTTTTTTTATTTGAACAAATGATGTTATCTATACCAATGGGAATGAGAATGGGCTTAAGGGTGGTTTGGAAGTGAGGTGCTTAAAAAAAAAGGAAAACTAATGAAAAGGGCTTGAAAACTTTGAGTTTTAATGATAAGGACAAAATAAAGGGTAAAGTGAATAGTACCAGGATTGACTTTTTAGTGTAAAAATGTGGTTTTTCGTTAAAGTGAACAGTACCAGGTGCTTTTCGTTAAAGTTCCCTAAAAAAAAAAGCACCCATGAAAAAAAAGCTGTGAGGGTTTTAGGTGTTTAGTAAACTGAAAAAAAGGCTTATTTTGGAAGCTGCTGTGAGAATAAGCTGAAATAAAAGGAAAAAGCTGAAGCTGCTATTTGCAGCTTTGAAAAACTGGTTTTTTTTCAAAGCACACGGAGCTACAGTGCTCCTTTAATGAAAAGACCCACTATCAGACTGTTTTTTTTTTTTTTTTTCCAAAAGCACTTTTATAAAAAAGTTTACCAAACACTCTGCTGATTTATTTCACAGCCGTTTATTCTCACAGCACAACCGCTTATTCTCACAACAGCTTTTTTTCAAAGCACAGTAATACCAAACCAGCCCTTAGTCTCACAATGAGCTAGCAATAATGTGGTTCAAATTCGCGCGAGAATCGAACATAAGACATCTCACTTACAAGTGAGGAGGAATATCACTAAACCGTTGTACTAAGTGGCTTAAAATAGTTTATTAAAATCCAAGTGTATTCAATTAAGATTTTAAACAAAGTATATAACATTTTAGGTGTATTCACTTAGGAATTTATTTTAAGGAATTTTAAAACTTTGAGGAATTTATTTAACAAGTGAAGATGAATACTACTAAACCATAGTACTAATTGATTTATTAAATAGTTTATTAAAATCTTTAGAAATCCGGGTGTATACAATTAGGCTTGTAAACAAGTTTATAATATTCAAGGTGTATTCACTTAGTAATTTATTTAAAAATAAATAAATGTTGAGGAATTTAAGACAATTGGAGAGATTCGAGCAAATTGAATCAAAATTTTACATGCAATATCTACAAATCAATTGAATTATGTTAAATTTTATTTTGTTTGGAAGATTTATTTATTTAAATATATTTTTATTTATTTACTTTGTTGTATATTAATTCATGTTATTACTTTTCCTACAAAAAAAAGCCTTATTTTTCTTTTTAATATCAAAAAGAGTTTTAAGAGCATCTCCAAGGTACGGGAGATATAGGACTCTCCAAGGTAAGGGAGATTTAGGACTCACATCTTATTTTTTGTTGTTTTGGGGGGGGGGGGGGGGGGGGGGGGGGCAAAGCCTTATTTTTCTTTTTTATATCAAAAAGAGTTTTAAGAGCATCTCCAAGGTATGGGAGATATAGGACTCTCCAAGGTAAGGGAGATTTAGGACTCTCCAAGGTAAGGGAGATTTAGGACTCATATCTTATTTGTTTTTTTTTTGGTGGGGGGGGAGGCTACAATTTAACGTATGGGCCAAAATATAAGAATAACATAAAAAATAGAAACAAATCTCAACTAATGTCTTTTTTTTATGTACACTGTGGGAGTGTGCTAATTATATGATTTTGTACCTATTTTATAAATCCTAGAAGATTATGTATAGAAATTCTTCGAGATATAGAAGATCTTTACTTGTACAACTTAGAGAGTAAGTTTTTTTTCTCCCTTAATAGTATAAATAAGGAAACCAATTTCTTTAAGGACAAGGAAACCTAAATCTCAACAAAATAAAATCCTTATCAGATCAATCTAATTTTCTTTTCTTTTTCTGTTTTTCCAACATCTCCTCAAAGTCATAGGATTGGCGCTATATAATGCTTACATATAAATCCTAGTAGATTATGTATAGAAATTCTTCGAGATATAGAAGATCTTTACTTGTACAACTTGGAGAGTAAGTTTTTTTTCTCCCTTAATAGTATAAATAAGGAAACCAATTTCTTTAAGGACAAGGAAACCTAAATCTCAACAAAATAAAATCCTTATCAGATCAATCTAATTTTCTTTTCTTTTTCTGTTTTTCCAACATCTCCTCAAAGTCATAGGATTGGCGCTATATAATGCCTACATATATTTTAATACAATCATCATTTCAACAGTTATTGGGTCATGGACAGCATGGGCAAATGGACAAGATAAGATTCTTCATCACGAACCTGCCCATTTTCTGAAAACCAATTGTCGACCACCAACTTCTGAATCATGCATGTTCCTCTTTTCTGAAAAAAGAAAAGCAAAAGTAAGGAATAAACACCACCAGAATGATGTAATTTATTTTTTATTTTTTCAAAGACATCTGTATAAACCCCATCAGAGGGTAAAAACAATAAAAAAATAAAAAAAAGCGGCAAAGCCCAAAATAAATAGGTTGGAATGTTGTGTAGAGATCGAAGGCCCATAAGCCCAAAACAGCACCAACCAAGTGACCACAAGTATGTCCAGTACTACAAAAAAAATTATTCGGCACCCCACCACTATTATCACCAACCAGGTGGCCAAAAGTACGCCCAGTGCTACAAAAAATTATTCGATAGCCTGCCGCTATTACCACCAACCAGGTGATTAAAAGTACGCCCAGTACTCCAAAATTATTCGGCAACCTGGCGCTATTACCACCAACCAGGTGATCAAAAGTACACCCAGTACTTCAAATTATACATGAGCATTACTTATATCAATCATACATAAACATTCATAAGCATCACTCATTCAATCATACATAAACATTCATGAGCATCACTCATGTCAACATCCATGAGCATCACTCATGTCAATCAACATAAACATTCATGAGCATCGCTCATGTCAATCAACTTCAAAAGCTTCATTTACAAAAGCTCTAGCTTCAAAAGCTTCATTTACAGAGCTCCAGCCTCAAAGCTTCACTTGCAAAGCTTCACCTACAAAGCTTCAGTGCAGGGTATACAAATACCGCCTCCGAACAACCGCCACTTCGGCCCATACATGGATTCAATTTGAAGTCTCCAGCCAACAGACTCTATTGACCGAAAACTTGGGGGAATACATTATACACCATATATTGGGCCTCAACTGTGCCTCATGAAAAATACTTGGGGGACTTAGCCCATTATTTATGTACTGAGGAGCGAGCCCTTATTCTATAAAAGGGACTCCCACACTTTCATTAGAGAGCACCCATTATTCATATATTGAAGAGCAAGCCCTTGTTCTATAAAATGGACTCCCTCACCTTCATTAGAGAACATCGCCACATGTTGAGCAACCGCCTCGCCGCGAGCATCAACTTTAGCCTATCATTTTTGTATTGATGAGCAAACCTTTATTCTATAAAAGGGACTCCCTCACCTTCAACGCCACAAGCCGAGCCAACCAAGGCAACATAAGCCACAAGCAGAGCAACCTCGTAACATGTACTACTTGAGCATCATTTCTCTTTAAGCACCACCTCATATCAAGTATTAGTTCAAGATGACATCTAGTTACTTCGGGCCACACATGGACTGAATTTCAAGTCTCCAGCCAAAAGACTCTCTTGACTGAAAACTTGGGGGACTACTGTTTATACCATACTTAGGGCCTTCGTATTTAGATCTCGTATAAATACTCAAAGGACTTAAAAGTAATTATGTAATAAAGGAAGGGGCAAATATGTAATAAGTGAGGAGCCATTATTCTATAAAAGGACCCCTCACCCTCACAATTAGAGAGGGCCTCACTCTCACCCTCGAAGGCCAATTCCTAGGCCCTCTCACCCTCAGAAGCTCTCTCTCTCTCCCTCAGAAATACAATAATTAGTGTGGACGTAGCTCAAACATTGGGGTGAACCACGATACATCTTGTGTTATTTACTTTCTTGCAGATTCATGGTCGAATTTACGTTGTTCCAAGACCCTTCCGGTTTTGTGCATCAATAAATGTCAAAGAATATGATGTTTCCCATGAACATTCAAAACGATGTTGCAAAGTGTCTCAATATATGTTACAAATACACATCCTGGCTTTGGCATCTTTGTTTTGGGCATCTTAACTTTGGGGGACTGGAGTTATTATCCAAGAATGAGATGGTGAGAGGCTTACCGTGCATCAGTCGCCCTGATCAAGCTTGTGGAGGATGTTTACTTGGGAAACAGTTTAGGAAAAGCTTTCCAAATGAGTCGACCACAAGAGCCCAGAAGCCACTCGAGCTCATTCACACCGATGTGTGCGATCTAATAAAACCAAGCTCTTTGGGTAAAAAGAATTATTTCCTTCTCTTCATTGATGATTTTTCAAGGAAAACCTGGGTATATTTCTTGAAGCAAAATCAAAAGTCTTTGGAGCATTCAAGAAATTCAAAGCCGCTATAGAAAATGAGAGTAGTTGCAAGATCAAAGCCATGAGATCTGATCGAGGAGGAGAATTCACTTCAAAAGAATTTCAAGAATTCTGTGAAGCTAATGGAATTTGTCGACCTTTGACAATTCCAAGATCCCCTCAACAAAATGGTGTGGCGGAAAGAAAAAATCGAACCATCGTAGACATAGCTCGAAGCATGCTCAAAAGTAAGAGATTGCCTAAAGAGTTATGGGCAGAAGCTGTAGCATGTGTTATCTACCTATCAAATCAGTCTCCAACAAGAAGTGTGTGGGGAAAGACTTCGCAAGAAGCATGGAGTGGAAGAAAACCAGGTACCTCTCATCTAAGAGTTTTTGGAAGCATTGCCTATGTACATGTACCAGACGAGAGGAAGACGAATCTCGATGACAAAAGTGAGAAGTTCATCTTCATCGGTTATGACTCAAATTCAAAAGGCTATAAGTTGTATAATCCGAACAATGGGAAGACGGTGATCAGTCGAGACGTGACGTTTGATGAAGAAGGAGAATGGGATTTTGGCCCGCATGCATGTGATCTTCACTTCTTTCCTCATTTTGAAGAAGATAATGAACAAAGGATGATGGAGCAAGCAAGAGATGTTCAACAAGAATCCACTACTCCACTTGCTTCACCAACATCAACCAATCATGGTAATTAACCAGCATCAGCATCGTCAAGTGGGAGTCTAAATGAAAGAGAAGTACCACACACAAGAAGTTTACGAGATCTCTATGAGGTAGCTGAAAGACTCGATAATCCTACATTTTTCAGTCTCTTTGCTGATTGTGAACTAGTTGACTTCCAAGAAGCAGTGCAAGATACTAAGTGGAGGAAAGCAATGGATGAAGAAATTGAAGTAATCCATAAGAATGATACATGGGAACTCGCTATTCTTCCGAAAGGACACAAAGCCATCGGAGTCAAGTGGGTGTATAAGACAAAGAAGAATGCCAACGGAGAGGTTGAAAGATGCAAGGCGAGACTAGTGGCGAAAGGCTATAGTCAAACAGCCGGAATCGACTATGATGAGGTATTTGCACCCGTTGCTCGGTTGGAAACTATATGATTACTAATTTCTTTGGCAGCTTAAAATAAATGAAAGATTCAACAAATGGATGTGAAGTCCGTTTTCCTAAATGAAGTCCTTGAAGAAGAAGTCTACATTCAGCAACCGTCAGGCTATGAAATCGAAGGGCATGAAGACAAAGTTCTGAAGTTGAAGAAAGCCCTCTATGGGTTAAAACAAGCGCCACTTCCAAGAAAACAACTTCATCAAGTGCCCTCATGAACATACTCTCTACGTCAAAGTCAAGGATGAAGATATTTTGATTGTGTGCTTATATATGGATGATCTAATCTTCACCTGAAGTAATCCAAGCATGTATGAAGAGTTCAAGAGAGTGATGACCAAAGAATTAGAGATGATCGACATCGGGCTAATGGCATACTACCTAGGCATTGAAGTAAAGCAGAACGAATAAGGCATTTTCATCTCCCAAGAAAGCTACACAAAGGAGATACTGAAAAAGTTCAAAATGGACGACTGCAAGCCCATAAGCATGCCAGTGGAGTGCGGAGTCAAACTAACCAAGCAAGACAAAGTTGAAAACGTAGATCCAACATTTTTCAAAAGTCTAGTTGGAAGCTTGCGCTACTTGACTTGCACAAGACCAGACATTCTCTATGTCGTTGGATTAGTCAGTCACTACATGGAGAATCCCACAACTACACATTTGAAGACATCCAAAAGAATTCTTCGATACCTTAAAGGTACTATTAACTTTGGCTTGTTCTATTCAAGTTCTAGTAACTAAAACTTGTTGGATATAGCGACAGTGATTGGGCAGGAGATTCCGATGACAGAAAAAAGCACTACTGGATTTGTGTTCTTCATGGGAGACACTGCATTCACATGGATGTCGAAGAAACAACCGATTGTCACCCTCTCTACCTGCGAAGCTGAATACGTAGCTACTACCTCAAGTGTCTGTCATGCAATCTGGCTGAGAAACTTGCTGAAAGAATTAAGCATGCCACAAGAAGAGCTAATAGAGATCTATGCCGACAACAAGTCTGCAATAGCTCTAGCAAAGAATCCAGTATTCCATAACAGAAGCAAACACATAGATACCCGCTATCATTACATAAGAGAGTGTATTGCAAGAAAGGATGTGCAAGTGGAATACGTGAAGTCTCAAGACCAAGTCGCCGACATATTCACCAAGCCACTCAAGAAGACTTTGTCAGATTAAGAAACTCAATCGGTGTCACAAGACAAGATTAAGGGGGGATGTTGAATTCTAATCTAGTCTTGGGCCGAGTCCAGCCCATGTTGAAAAGGCAATACAAGATTCATACAAATGCTAGATAATTCTAGCAAGAAGCATGTCGGTGAATACACAGGAAATGCTAGAAAATTCTAGCACCAAAGTCGGTGCATCATGCATGCATATTAATATGCTAGACAATTCTAGCATTTTAGCTTATTAAGTCGGCAAGGATGTTTGATGAATTGTTATAGAAAACTCTAGAATAATTAAAACCTGTGGCTAGGAGGAACTTAGTCCAATTGCACCGACTTGTGAGTCGGTTATTGCTTGCCTATAAATATAGTGTGTGTGTTGCTACGTAGCAAGAAGAAGTGAGAGCAAGTAAGAGAGCAAGAAGTGCGAGAGTATTTGAGTATTTCCTCTTGTATTAAGTTTGTGAGTGAATAAAAATCTTGTGTAATACATTGAGTGTTTTTTCTCTTGCCTATCAATTACGCTGCATTACATTCTTCTTTGTGAGATAAACGTCTCCAAACTAATGAAGTCTTTTTAAGCCCCAGCAATGCCATGCCATAATCTTTCTGTCAATTGTCATAACATGTTAATTTAAAAGTTTTTTTAAACAAAATTTTGCGTAGTGTTAGTAGAGCGATAGCGATAGCGTTGTATGTTAGATAATTTGTTATTAAAAACAACTGTACTTAGTTATCTGAGTTCAAATGTTATTGGGTTCCAAAAATACTTGAAGTATGGAGCTTCTTACAGGAAGCACTTCAAGTACATTTTCAAAATTCACTTGCATTTTTATCAAGGATTGGTTTCAAAAACATTCAACAAAAGCATTTCCAACGGTTAAAAACACTTCCCAACGAGCCCAAAATTATTGGTGTATGAACACATATAAGAGTTAGTGTATCAATCGCGCCATTGAGATTCAAAAGGGGTTGCTTGTAAAAGATATTATATCCATTTGAAATGGCAACCAGGTTCATAACAAACTTAACACCAAGCTCATGCCCCGACCCCCTTTCTCCTCCCTGGACTCCCCTACTGACCCTTATCACAAGGTCAACGTTGATGGTTCTTGGAAGGGTTCTGTTGCAGGAGTAGGGTTTATAATCCGCAATTCAAGAATTTCTTTAATTTGTAGCCAGACCAAGTGCTTGACTCGTCAGACGCCGGAAGAAATGGAGGCAGAGGTTGTTTTAACTGGTATGGAATTAGCTTAGGAGCATAATTTGGAACATGTTGTTATTGAGGATGATTCTAAGTTGGTGATGGATGCTATCAACGATAGAGGAATTACGGGGTCTTGGAGAATTTATCCCATTGTTATTCTATTCATCGGATTGCGAGTTTGTTTCGTTCAATCACTTGGAAGTGGTCTTCGAGATCTGCCAATCGAGCAGCCCATGCTGGTGCAACTTTAGCCAATTCGAGGGGTGCACTTTATGAGTTGGGCAACTATGCCTCCTCCCTTGCTGGTGATGGTCCTCTCTCGTGACAGAGTACTCTATCCTCCAAATTTGTAATCTTTTAGGGGCTTCTCCCCTCATTTTTTGGGTATGCCTATGGGGTATTTGGTGATGTTTGCTTCTTCTTTCTAGGTTCTTTGATGCTCCTGGTGTGATTAGGCAACACTTTTCTTCCCCATTGCGGGAGTGCAACTCCTGCTTGTATTTCGCTTTGCTGGTTTCAATATGTTACTCTTTTTCCTCAAGAAGAAAAAGAAAAAAGAAAAAAACTAAAAAAAACTTTTAACACCATAAGATGTTGATATCGTTCACAACATTTAGAATGCAGTTTTTACACATTCATCTTTTGTGGAATTTAAATAGAAAATTTTTTAAATTAAGGGATCCCTCTCGCTTGCCCGATTTCTTGTGCTCGAATCAAGTGAATCTTGCTTATATCAAACGAAATAAAACGAGGGATATAATGGAAGCCAAATTTCCATTCATCAACTTTACATACCTTTGCTTTTAACATGATATATGTAGCCAACGAACTGCGCAAGGTTGGTATACAAGCTTCTGTATAAAATGTTTAGTCCAGTTAATACCAAACTCTGTAGTTTTGGTATTTTATTCAGCAACTCTTTTAATTTGTTTGCACAATTAATTGAAAATGAAAAAAATAATTAAAAAACAATAAAAAAACTAGATATGATTCGATCAACTTGTCTTGGAAATCTGTCTTCATGTGCTATCAAAAGCGAACAAAGATGAACGCAAAGAACCAAGCGAAACCTCAACTTCTGTTTGTTACAAGAAATATGAATCACCCCCAAACGCAATAATCAACAGTGCAGTAGTTATGAAAGAAAACATGCTACTCTAGCATGCAGAGAAGCAAACCAAGAAGAGCGTTGCCCTAATGATAAATCATTCTTCGAGCGGATTGAGAACTTGACCAATGAACATAACCGTTTCAGTCTTTTCCTCTCTGATAAAAAACATGAACGGGTGGTCAGCCACAAAGTCTATCTTTTTGCGAGGACTTAGAGGACCATAAGAGAAATACATATCTACATAACTAGAAACAGCCGCTGCTTCTGTCCCTTCTTCATTAACTTCAATGAAGGATTTATGAAACATGGTGGCCCCATCTGGAGATGATTCCACCATCTCTGTTAAATCACCTTCACCATTGAAAGGCAACACCAATCCTAAATCCTTGAGGATATCAGATGCTTTAAAGGAAGAGGAAAACTTAAACCTTGGGACTTTGAAGTCACCAACTTCCACTTGTGTTTCGGGGCAATATCGATCTAAGAAATTGGGCTCCGTACAAACTCTCTCAACCAAACTTGGGAGCCCATCTCTTGTATTTGGAAGCAACAAGTACATTGAAAATTTCCGCCTCCTGTCTTTGCCTCGTGCGTAATGAAGCTTCAAGACTTTGAAGCCGTCAAAGGCTTTTACAAACTGGTCCTCGTCACTCGTCATGAACTGTGCCTTAACAGAAGTACCGTTGATAAGGTGGAAGTCGTACTCTTTTGTTTTCGATGCTTTGAACTTGTCCTTCCAAAGGCCTTTGAAGTATAAGGCATTTGAAATTACAAGCATGGTCTTCTTGTCAATCGACTCAGGAGGAAGAGCCTCAGTGATCGTCGCCTTTTCAGCCCATAAGTTCACTTCACGTCTCACTTCTTCAGGATTCTTGAAACTAACTTGTTTTATAGTTGCCTTGTAAGCACTGTCCACAACCTGTTTGAAAGCAGGTTTGATGAGGAGAGACTTCTTAACCCAAAGGCCATTGGCAAAACATAGGCAAGGACCGCCTCTGGCAGATCCGTTTGCGAAGACCAGAGGGACAAGATGGGAGGCCAGGGAGTTCAGTTGGTCGACGGAGTTCGACTTGAGGAAAGAGAGCATCTGGTCTTGGGTAGGACCCTTTGACCCGGCCGTTATTAGCCACAACATAACCTGGATGGATAACGGCGAGTAAACAATGTTCTTCGACTTGCCTTCTGTTACGAGCAGATGAGTAGTAATTTTGAGACTGACATCGGTTAGGTTGCTGGCTTCTTTGGGATCCATGGTGAAACTGTCGGGATCACAATCCGAGAAGGGAAATGACTCGTTGGCTTCGTCGTCTGCCCCAGCTGTAGCAGGAGCAGCGATACCACCGAAGCCGTCACCAGTTTTATCAACTGCAATAGCATCACCACAACCAGATGGTACGGAGGAGGCCAACTTTTCCCGTCCAGACGCAATAAGCTCTGTGATGTCTTTACTCTCGACTTCGGAAAGAAGAAGTTGAATCCTGTCATCATCAGCCTCAGCGCCGACAGAGCCAAGGATGTCCTTGAGATCTTCGGCAGAAGGGGAGGTCTTGCCCCCCAAAACGGCCAACAAGTATGCAGCTTCCACCTTCATCTCTGCTTGAGAGGCTCTTGATTTGCGGAGTCTGGAGAAATATGCAGCCGATCGAATTCGAAGTGGAATACTACAAATGAAAACTAGGGTTTATATTGCCACCAGGTTGGGTTCCCAGTTCTTCGGGTCAGCCCATTGGGTATAGAAGGCCCATTATCCTTATATCCATTACGTTTCAGTTGTTTAGCTGGCTAGGTTTCCGTTTCAGTATTTGGCATGAGTTGTATTTAACCTTATATTTTCCGAGTAATACTAGAGAGATTAAATTTTTTAAACCAAATATGCAAACTAAATAATGTGGTTGTAGATTATTGAATTATTAATTAAGTGTCAGTTAACGTGTTTGTTTCCTTTTGGTTACACATCATTTGGTTTGTAATTTAGTTTAAAAAATTTAATCATTCTAGCATCACTTTATTCCCATTTGCGAGGTTTATCAATGAATACTTTAGTTTTGTTTAATTTCCTCTCTATTTTTCTTCCTCAATTCTTCTGTCAACGGACAGACCTCATCACACCATGAAATATAAAAGGTAAGTCCTTTATGCATAAAGGAAACAAAAATACCCATATCCACGATCAAACCCTAAAATGCTCACTGCTGTATTCTGACGTACGTACCTATAGGAGCCGTTTGGTACATAGGATGGGACGGAACGGACTAGGACGAGATGTTCCATCTCACATTTAGTGCCCCTAAAATGGGTGGAATGCACTGTTCCACGGGACAAGTTTTGGGTAAATTTTCGTTACGCCTCACCCCCTTGGAACGACTCGTTCCACATCCGTGGAACACAAAATTATAACATTTTAAGACAAAAATACCCATCTCCCATTGTCTCTTTCCTCAGATCTCAACCTCTTCGTCTCTTTCTTCTTCCTCCTCGCTTCCATCCGAGCCCTAGTTTTCCACGGCATCTTTCAATATTTAGAAAATGGGGAAGCCATCCAAAAGGCAAGAAATCTAAGAATTTGGGGAAGGGAATGGTCACCCCCATCCAAATCGCCTTCATCGTCGACCGATACCTCTGCGACAACAACTACTTGGTAACCCTCTCTCTTTTCAAAACCGAAGCTTCGTCCCTCATTGCCAAATCACCTATTCAAGAGGTACCCACTTGGTTTTACGCGACGATTTATTCGAAATTGGTCTGAAAGATTTCTTATTTGTTTGATTTGGGATTTTCTTTTTTTTGCAGGCGCCGAAGAGTTTGCTGAGCGTGATGAACACTTACAATGCTAGCGGAAGCCCCGCAGTTTCTGCACCTGCCGCTGTGGCTCCACAATCATTCAATCTTTTGGTTTCGTTCTATCCAACGCGTTCCAAACGCTGAACGGAACAACCGTCTTGTTCCGTCTGATGCGTACCAAACATACACGGAACCTCCGTTTCATCCCGTCCCGTCTGTGTACCATGAAACATAAAAGGTAAGTCCTTTATGCATAAGGGAAACAAAAATACCCATATCCACGATCAAACCTTAAAATGCTCAAAGCTGTATTCTGACGTACGTACCTATAGAGAACATGGTTTAGGGTTTTTCTTTCTCTCTCTCCTTGTCTCTGGAGTTGATGCCACCGCAGGGCGTTTCTTGGCCCTCTTCCTCCGACCTGCTGCCGTCTGAGATTTCATATCAACCAGAAGATCCACCAATTGCAACGCGACGGATGTGGGCAATATTTTTTTTTTTTTGCCAGAATATTATAATTTCTTACAAAGTAATCTAGAGTTATTGATTCATAAATTTAGCACGAGTTTTCATTCAAGGGTGGAGTAATTGTTTTAGTGACGGAGCTTTAACTGGAAGCCATCAAGAACATGTTAATGTCCTCACTCCTCAGGCTGTTAGAATTGTGATGTAAATATAGCAACTGATGATTGTTCTGGTGACGGGGTTTTAACTGTGGAGATAACAAAGTGCGAAGAAAATTTACTCAAACTTTCTTTTTAGCATCTCAACTCAACAGATATTTGTCTCGACTCTCGAACAATAACTTTCGTGAATTTTGATGACTTCACTATGGCTACTTCGCCTGGTATCTAAATATATACTTCAATCTACTTGTAGACCATTAAAGCAAAAATCAAAAACAAAACTAGCCACCACTTTATATAGAACTGTATTATCCAAATACCTGGAGCCCTAACCATTGGTTCTCGCCAAGAATCGCTATTTAGTTTTATACAATAATATATTTACACTATGCATCCACAAGATTCATATTAACAAATGTATGGTGGAGATCGGTTTATAATTGAATGATGAAGATTGGTCTAGAAAGAGTTTGTTAGTGATAGTGTATATGGGTAGACAGGATATTGACAAGTGTCATTATGTTAGTAGTAATGTCTTAAGGAAGTTATGTGGGTGTAAAAGTATATATACTGAGTTGTAATTATTCTCATTCATTAATTCAATAGAGGAAAAACAGTTATTACAATTCTCTCTCTAGTTTTCTCTGTCTAATATCTCTCTCTCAGTTTTTAAGAGTTACTTACACATTAAGCTTCCTCTGATCGTTATCATGGTATCTTCGCCGGTGGCTACCGCCGTTGAGTGACGATCTTGGTGCTTCTGCTTGCTTTCTCAATGTCGGTTGTGGATTCTGGTTGTTGTTGCTGCGTTGTGATGTCGGTCGTCGTCGATTGTTGCGCTTCTTCATTCCTTTGATTTGGGAATTTCTAGTACACTCTATCCAATTGTTGTGGGTTGATTTGTTTTTAGTCTGTGCTGTGTGATCTTTCTTTGCCTCGGTTGCATTCTTGGTCTTCGTTAAGAATCTGGTAGTTGATTTCTGCATCTGTGGCGTTTTTTGGATCTAAAACCCTAATTTTGGGAAATTGTGTTTTGTTTTGGAGTATTGAGGTTCAGTTTCTTGTAACGTTGTCTTCTTGATTACTGAAGTATTGTGATTGGTGTTCATATTGAAGTTATTTTCTTGTTCGATTCATCATGGTGACTTCTTTGCAATTAACTCTCACACAATCTCCAATTTCATCTCTGATTCCGAGTGTTGGTAACACGGTCACTGTTAAACTCGATGATTCTAATTACGTGACATGGAATTTTCAAATGGATCTACTTTTAAATGGTAATGGAATTCTGGGGGTTTGTTGATGGTTCCATTGCTTGTCCAGCGAAGTTTGATAGTATTGCTACTGAAGGTGGTACGGTTGTGCATGATACTATCATTTCTGATGCCTACAAAGTTTGAAAGATACATGACAAGGCTTTAATGACTCTTATCACAGCCACTTTGTCACCATCTGCTTTGTCTTGCATCATTGGTTGTATTAGCTCTTGTCATATGTGGGAAACTCTGCGTGAATGATTTGCAAGTATAACCATAACTAATATTGTTCAATTAAAGATTGATATTCAGATATTAAAAAAGGACCAGAAACTATTGATCAATATTTGCAACGCATTAATGACTCTCGGGATCAATTGGCCACTGTTGGAGTTACAATTTCGGATGAGGATATTTTTATTGTTGCTTTGAGGGGTCTTCCTTTTGAATATAATACTATCAAAACTGTTATCAGGGGTAGAGAAAGTTTGGTTAACCTGAAAGAGTTTCGCTCTCAACTTAAAGCTGAGGAATCCACCTTGAATGAAGCTGCTCAACAGCTACCAATTATGTCTGCTATGCTTGCTCACAGATCTAGTTCTACGTCATTTTATGATCATGGTTCTACCTCTGGTGGTCAGTCTTCTTTCTTTCCAGAGTCATCATCTGTATCACTACAGGGTTTCTCTCTATCAATGCCTCAGATGTCTTCGATGCTCCAAATGTCTCATATGTCTCCAATGTCCATGCCAGGTTATTCTCAACCTCTGTTTTCTCCTATATCTGCTGCATATGCTTCTCAATCCACCCAGCAGTTCGGCAACTCTGGTTCATACAATAATTTCCGGAACAACAATTACAAAAGCAAAGGAAAATGGAAGAAATTTTACTCTGGTTCTCCATCTGTCCAACAATTTGGCAACTCTGGACCTCAGTCCTTCTATCCTTCATCTGGTCAACAACAGCCTTATCCCACTGCTTATAATCCATTGCAAATTTGCCAGATTTGTGATAAAAATGGACATTCGGTACTCAATTGTTTTCAGCATGGATGTCAAATCTGCCACAGGGTTGGACATGTTGCGGCTACTTGTTTTGATAGAAATAATGGTCAATCTCAGGCACATCCATATTATTCCTCATCTGGCATGATTGCTCCGCAACAGTATCATTCTCCTTAACCGTATCCGTCTCCCCAACAGTTTTCATCTCTAAACCAGTACCCGTATTCATCCCAGGTTATGATGTATCATGTCTCTTCACAGTCTTCTCCTATTGCTATGCCTGCAAGGATCAATCTGTTTCCCTATACACCTCAACAAGAATATTGGTTAGTGGATTATGAAGCCACTAATCATATGACTTCAGATATCTCCAATCTTCAAGAAGCTACACCTTATCCTTCTTCTGAAACTGTTACTGGAGCTAGTGGTGAAGGTTTAGCTATTGCTCACATTGGCAACACTTCTTTAACTACTCCATCTCATCAGTTTCAACTTAAATCTGTGTTACATGTTCCTCAATTGTCTCATCATTTGTTATCTATGAATCAGTTATGTCGAGATAACAAGTGTCGGTGCATTGTTGATGAATTTTCCATTTGTATACAGGACAAGGCCACAGGACAAATGCTTTACCAAGGACTGAGTAACAATGTCGTGTATCCTCTTCCAGTTTTAAAACCTCCCAAGTCTCTTCATTTTCATACTGCAAGCTTTCTGGGACAAAAAGTATCTATTGAGCTTTGGCATTGCAGGTTAGGACATCCTACTAATCCAGTGGTTAAAGCAGCATTAAGTAGGTCTAAGATTCCTTTCTCTTGTAATTCAAACCCCAAACCTTGTACTGCTTGCTTGCAAGGCAAGTTTACCAAATTACCTTTCCCTGTTGTTGCTTCCAAATATGTTGTTCCGTTTGAAGTAATTAATACCGATGTATGGGGTCCATCTCCTCATGTGTCTTTAGAGGGATTTAGGTATTATGTGTCTTTCATAGACGAGTGTACAAGGTATACATGGATTTTCCCATTAATGAATAAAGCTGGTGTGTTCACTGTGTTTGTTTAATTCTTAGCTTTTGTATCTACTTATTTTGATGCTAAAGTTAAAATTGTACAGAGTGATAGGGGAGTGAGTATATTAGTTCCCAGTTTCAACTGTTTCTTCAAGAAAAGGGTATTGTTCATCAAAAGTCTTGTCCCTATACTCCCAAACAAAATAGGTTAGCTGAGAGGAAGAATAGGCATATAGTTGAGACTGTTATTACTTTACTTCAACAAGCTTCCCTTTCTGCCATCTTTTGGTATCATGCTTACGCCACTGCAACCTACCTTATAAATAGGATGCCTACACCCATTTTGCATATGCAATCACCTTTTGAAGTTTTACATCACTCACCACCTACACTGAATCATTTGCGGATTTTTGGAAGTGCTTGTTATCCATCTATGAAACCTTATAGATCTAATAAATTAAACTCTAAGACCACTGAATGTTTCTTTCTCGGATATGCTGCTCATTATAAGGGATACATTTGTTTTGTTCCAACAAAAAACAAGATCATTTTATCCCGCCATGTTTTTTTTTTATGAAACCAAATTTCCAAGTGTTCATTGGTCTCTTCCCTTACATTCTCCGTCTTCTATCTCTTCGCCCCATTCACAGTCCTATGTGGTGCACCCTAATACATTTACTCACAACAACCTTATTTCCATTCCCATCCCCTGTCCTATTGTTCCTAGGGTCTCCAATGTTACTCAGTCTTGTCCTTCACCATCTCCTATAAGTGGTGGCCTTGTCTCCTCTAGTCCTGCAGCTGGTAGTTCATTATGTATTCCAGAAAATAATACTCTGGATCGTTCCGTGTGTTTTTCAGAAGACAATCCTGATACTTCAATCTCTCAGGTTCCTGACCTTCAACCTGTCACAGTTAACTCTCATTCTATGCAAACTCGGTCTAAGTCTGGTATTTTCAAAAAAAGAGCTTTTCATACTCATGTTACTTCAGAGTCTCATTCTCTGATTGAACCTCAATCCTTTAAAGTAGCTTCTAAGCTCTCTCACTGGCAAATTGCCATAGATGAGGAGATGAATGCTCTTCTACAACAACATACTTGGAGTTTGGTTCCTTTGCCTCCTCACAAGAATCTTGTGGGTTATAAGTGGGTTTACAAGATCAAGAAACATCCTGATGGATCTGTTGCCCGATATAAGGCTCGATTAGTGGCCAAAGGGTTCTCTTAAGAAACTGGTTTGGACTATTATGAGACATTTAGTCCGATTGTGAAACCCACCACTGTTCGATTGGTTTTGTCCTTGGCTGCTACTCATGGTTGGAAGTTAAAACAATTAGATGTCAAGAATGCCTTTCTTCATGGCTTTCTTGATGAAGAAGTATATATGTCCCAACCTTAAGGTTTTGTGGATCCTGATCATCCAGATTATGTTTGCAAATTGGAACGATCTTTGATGGTTTGAAACAGGCTCCTCGTGCCTAGAATGACAGGTTTACCAAGTTTCTTATTCAGTTGGGTTTCACTACTTCTTAAGCTGATCCTTCCTTATTTGTCAAGACCATTGATCGTTCGGTTATGATTCTTTTGCTATACGTGGATGATATCATTCTTACTGGTACTAGTGATGATGTTATTCAATCAATGATTTCTCAACTTACTACTGAGTTTGACATGAAGGATTTGGGCATTCTCCATTTTTTTCTCGGGTTGCAGATTGAGTATCAACCTCAAGGCTTATTTGTTCATCAATCCACATATGTGAAGGCATTGTTGCACAAAGCAAATATGTTGGATTGCAAGCCATGTCTTACTCCCTGTCATCCATATCAGAAATTACTTTCACATGGTAGTTCTTCGGTTGTTGATCCTGGTTCCTATCGAAGTCTTGTAGGAGCTTTGCAGTATCTTACTTTTACTCGCCCTGATATTGCTTTCTCAGTCAATCAGGTTTGCCAATTCATGCACTCTCATCTTGAGTCGCATTTAGCTGCAGTAAAACGCATCTTAAGATATCTGAAAGGTTCTATACACTTGGGGCTCTGCTTTCGTCCTGGTTCCTTTCACTTACGAGCCTATACAGATGCTGATTGGGCCGATGACCCTAATGATCGTCGTTCTACTACTGGTTTTGTGATTTTTCTCGGGTCTAATCCAATTTCCTGGAGCTCCAAGATGCAGCATACTGTGAGCCGGTCCTCTACTGAGGTTGAATATAGGGCCATGGCCACTACTACTGCTGAGATCGTTTGGATTCAACAGTTGTTACAGAATCTTCATATGCCGGTTCTCGACACTCTTTTGCTTCACTGTGATAACATCTCTGCAATGGCTCTTGCTACGAATCCTGTGTTTCACTCCAAGTCCAAGCATATTGAAATAGATTGTCACTTTGTGCGTGAAAGAGTTCAACGTGGTACTATTTTGTTACAGTTTGTTAATTCTGCAGATCAATATGCTGATGTTTTTACTAAAGGCCTTTGTTCTCCTCAGTTTCGTTTTAACTGTTCCAATCTCATGCTTGGTTGTTCTCAGCAAAAGTTTGAGGGAAGATGATAGTGTATATGGGTAGACAGGATGTTGACAAGTGTCATTATGTTAGTAGTAGTGTCTTAAGGAAGTTATGTGGGTGTAAAAGTATATATACTGAGTTGTAATTATTCTCATTCATTAATTCAATAGAGGAAAAACAGTTATTACAATTCTCTCTCTAGTTTTCTCTGTCTAATATCTATCTCTCAGTTACTTACACATTAAGCTTCCTCTTATCGTTATCAATTACAAGGTTAGAGTTAGTTACCTTGTAAGCTAGTATAAATTGTAAAAGCTTTTTCATTTTCTGTAATTAGTTCAACTTAGAAGATATCAATACAAGCTTTCATTTTCTTCCAAAGCCTCATCTTCTTCTCCAGTCCATTGTGATGGATAATCTTCATACTTTTTCGACGTAGTTAACAATTCGAATCTAAAATTGCTCATTTACCACTAACCTTTATTATTAAATGGCCATAATAGTTCAACACAAATATGGCAAAATTTCAAGAGGGATCAGAGAGGCCACACAAGATAAAGTAAAGGTGATAAAATTGAACTGTTATTTGTAATTCGTTTTTTATCATCTTCATACTTAAGAATTTGTATGAGTCGACTATAAGATTACTTTCCATCAAACAATTATTATTAAACTAAAAACTAGTTGGTAAGAGATCCTCTCTGGATCTCTCCCACTAAATCTACCTAATCCATTAATTCAGATCTTTGAATTTGATCCAACGGCTACAAATAAGGGGCCTCATAAAAGTTATAATAATTTTAGTTGTTCGATCACATTTCAAGAGCTCGGATTAATGGATTGGGATGGCTTTGGTGGGAGAGATCCGGAGGGATCTCTTCCCCACACTTAGTGCCAATGAAAATTGAAGATTTGTGAATGATGGTATAAGGTCAATTTGAAAGGGCGTATATTCTTGACTTTAAATGAATAAAGTTGAGATTAGATTGGACTAGGCTAATGTCCTTGATTGAAATTTGTTATGATGTCATTTCGTTACATTGCGTGTGTAACCCTTGAGAAGAACCTTGGCCAGTTAAAACTAATGATTGTATTTAAAACTAATGAAAATGATTTGAAAACTTTAAGGATAAAGTGAATAGTATTATTATTGACTTTTTAGTGTAAAAATATGATTTTTCGTTAAAATAAATAGTACCGGAAGTTTTTCGTTAAAGTTCTCATGATTTTATCACTTAAAAAATACTTAAGGATAGGGCAGTACTACAATATCTTTGAGTTGATTGGTAATAATGTGTTATTATTAAGGTAGGCATTGATGTTCAGTCGCATGTTATTTTCCCAACCACCTACTCACCTTATACTAAACTAGCAAGCAACCTTTGTTGTTGCAGTTGGTTTAGAACTCGATGGAAACTGTTTTTAAAATGATTAAATGCATTTTTGGTGATATTATTTTTAAATTTCAAAAGTACTTGAAGCGTTTTTTGCAAAAAATACTAGTTACTAAAAATTGGTTTCAAAAACACTTTCAGCAAAAGTATTTTTAGTAATTTTAAAAACACTTCCAAACGAGCCATAAGTAAAGTGAGTAACCAGATAGTATATCTATGTGATTATTATGGCAATCATCTATTACTAGTTGTAGATCTATTGCAAAAATAAGGTCTCCTCATCTCTTAGTGTATTTTAGAATAGTAAAATTGATGTTTATTAAAAAAATAAAAAAATAAAATAAAAAACTGTTTATTGCTGTTTTTATTTATTAGTTATTACTATTTAAACTATTTTAATTATTGCTACTATTATTATTATATGATGTATGATTACGTAATAAGAGCCAACGGAGGCAGGATAATCATATTTTTGGTGTATTTTCTTTTTGGGTTGAAAAGTATACGTACTATATTGATTAGTAGTAGAGGTGGATCAAATTATGGCCTATCAAGATGATCCTATTTCTTATCCATTTTTTATTCTTTATGTTATTAAAATTAATAACTCACAACTTAATGTAGTATTACGGTTTTTATTTGTTAGTAACAAATCATAAATTCTAATTTTATAAATGACGAATTCGATATGAATTTATTTTTTTATTATCCTAATAATATATTCTTGTAAAAAGGAAAATTACAAGCTTGTACAAATAATACCGAACCCGAATAGTTTATAGTAGTCAAAGAAAAGGTTGTCAAAATACAAAAAGAGAAACGAAATCAGTACACTTGGGGCCTAGGGCATTGGCCACCCCAACAATTATTTGATTGTTACCTCGCATGAAATGTCAACCACAGCTCAACACGATAGGGACAATGGAGATATTTAAATCACAATGTTTGAAAACAAAGGAAGTAATGTGCATGTGTCCAACCTTTCATTACGATCTTGCTAGTAACACTTGATTTGGTTAAACTTTTATGGTATGACGAGTGTACCATCACTTATAGTTACTATTGTACACAACAAGCACTTTTTAATATAGGTGCATCTTGATTGCAGATCTACTGTTTTTAATTTGGTGTCTCGTTTTTATGTAGTTTGACACTTGTTCTTTCATTTCATTTTAGAGTTAACATTGTTAGTTTTTCAAAAGATAAAACATGAAGAAAACACTAAATTGAGGACAACAAATCCACTAGACTTCGAGAGCTAAGGAAGATGGTAATATGTTGCGTGAGTCCTACCATTATATATATGATCTATATATATAACTACGATAAATGCTACGGAGACTTTGAAAAGTGTGACTCTTTATGAACTCTTTGTCATCTCATATTTTTTGCACAGTATTTTAATTATAATGTTGACACGATAATTAAAGTTAAAATGTGAGGTCACAGAGACTTCATAAAGAGTCTCATTTTGAGAAAGTTTCCTTAGCATAAGTATATCAACAAATGTGATAAAATGACATTATATTAAGGGATTGAAGACTCACCCATATCGTAGAATTCAACCACCTTTCTTTTTCAACATTGAAATTGAGAATGATCCTTCCTACCAAATTAGAGAATAACTAATGTTAGAGGACTCTCCACTCTAGTGTTCCCATTTAGTGCCTAATTCAATGCTACCATGTTGCGAAAGCCAAATTTTCCCATGTCATTTTCTTTACAAAACTTTTGCAAGATGGCTATGAATGAAATTTTATGCCTATCCCCCTAATTTTTCCACCAGAGTTTGGAAGGTTGGTATGTAAGCATCTTCTATAAATGTTTGGTCTATGTAATACTAGACTCTCAAGTTAATAGGGTTCCATGAGTCTTATCCACATGCACCTCAAACTTTCTTAATCGACTTGAGATGAGAGGGTTGCATATGTACAAGGGGGTGTGATATCCACACATCATTTTTTACTTCTCACACACCTTTCTAATTTTTAGTCGTCGGATCGGATGAATTGAAGAAGATCAACGAACATAAATTAATAAAGGGTGTGTAAAAAGTAAAATAGGGTATGTGGATAACACATCCATTTACAAATTACGCTTAAATTTGTTGCGTCAATCTTCTTGCTGCTTATACTTTAGTTTAGTTTAGTGCATCGCTTGTTTATATGAAGAATAGACACATTTAGTCTCAGAAACCCTTTTGCACAATTAAAAATAAGAAAAATGAAAACAATATGAGATTGGATCAACATGTGTCTTGGAGATCGGGAGATTTTCAGTATATCCGAAACACGATGTGGTACATCACTTGTCCTTATATAAGTGGTGGGATATTTGTATTGAAAAATTAACAATTTAAAAAATAAAACTTCACTCCACTTACATATGGTGCATCACTCGTATTCTGGATACAATGAAAATTTTCTGTCAAAAATCGACAATTTTCGCCAATGACTCCTAATTGAATAATGAAATTATTGTTTAGATTACAATCCATCCACCATCATCCCGCATTCATTGGCTTATAAAAAACCAAAAATTTCTTTTATAATCCTTGGAAAGACAAATCTCTATTTCATAATTTTAATTTCCATTGGTTATACCAAGAGATTCTTTCTTTCCATAGACCCAACCCATTTCCGGAACGGTTTGGTTCGGATCGCACCCACCCGGTCACAGGGGTAAAATCGGTAGAGGGACCATAGTTGAAGCTCTATCTCTAGGTCCCAGAGTACAAGAAATTTTTAGTTATGACAGAAATACGGATGATACATCATATATTTTTATGCAAGTGATGGAAAATTTTAATCTATTAACCTTTTAGCACACATAATCTACTATTTATATAAAGACACATGATGTATCATCTTGTGTGACGACCACGCTGAAAAATCTTACATGAATTTCCAACGTAAGAGTGTAAAACTAAACATCAACCAATGGGACCCACCCATCCGGGCCCCACAGCTTAAATCTTGGCAGAGTCGCAAGTACCCAATGGACCATGACCCAACTGGTACTTCCGGAATCGAGGGTATTTTCGTCATTCCGATAGAGCGGGTGGTTACTCTGCCCACTGGTAAATGATTCTTGTCTTCCTCGCCACTACTACCGTTAGCTGTCTTCTGACGCTCACTCCCTCGTTTTCTCTGTTAAGCTTGCAGAGAGGGGAGAGAGAGATAGAGAGATCTAGAGAGAGAGAGAGAGAGACTCAGAATTCTAGAGAGAGAAAATGAGTGAGCCATCGAACGATGCGTTGTTGGCGCCACCCCCGCCTCAGGCGTTGCTGGAGAGGCTCAAGGATTACGGCCAAGAAGACGCCTTTGCCCTCTGGGACGAGCTCTCCCCCGACGAACGCCAGCTTCTCGTCAATGAAATCGAGGTCCTCTATTTCTTTCACCTCCTCTGGTTTTAATTTTCTCGGCAGCCAAACAGTTAAGATTCTTAAAACAGAACTCGGCAGTGATCGAATTTGGGACCACTAACGATAATTCATCTGATTTTTCATAAATTTATTGGATTTCAATGCCAATCTGGGACAGTTGAATTGATTGCATTGTTGCTTTTGCTTCTGAATCAAGAGATTGATGCATTTTGTTTTGCATTTTTGTTTAGAGTTTGGATCTTTCGAGAATCGATCGGATCATACGGTGTTCGCTTCGATCTCACGGTCAGTACCTTGCCAATTACACGCAGAAAATATAATCAAAGTATGATTAGTAGTTCTGATGGATTTTGATTGGTTTGACAGGGCTGCCGACGGCGGCGATTGAGCCGGTGCCGGAGAGCAGTGTGTCGGCGGTGGAGGAGCGAACGCTAGAAGACAGAGAGAGGTGGTGGAAGATGGGACTGAAAGCCATCCATGAGGGAAAGTTGGCTGTCCTACTTTTGTCCGGTGGACAGGTGAGGTCCAATTTTTTTCAATCATGTTTTGTAGCTTTTAATAGATATGTTTGCTTAATGTGGCATTGCTTGGCACTCATTGCTTTTGCTCAATGTTTAACTTTATACTGCATCAAAAAGAGAATTATTAGTTTAGTAGTGCTTCTTTATTTGTATGTGGGGTGTTACATTTGGTGCCCCTCTTTCTCTGTCCTTCAAACCATGACTTTCGGGATCGATTCGCTTTTTGGGGTTTTGTGTATATAAAGACAACTTGATTACAGATGGGTTTGTACGCTTAATGTTTAAAGCAAACTTTTTTAGTCCATAATGTATTTAATCATCCTCTCCTTCTCTCTCTCTCCCTCTCTAACTATTATTTTGCTATGATGTTGCTTTATGGATTTGTAGATAGTTTTACGAATAATGTGTTTCTCCCTCTCTCTGGTTGGTAGGATGTTATTTTCTAAATGTTCATTTGGGACAATGTTGATGGCACTTAGTGATGGAAAAAGCATTGGAATATGGTTTTCCCCTTGTTTAAGCATCATGTACAGCAAAATTGCTTTGTAGGATTCCAAAATCTTTATTCTTTCTTTCTTTTATTTTTCTGGTTTTTGTTTTTTGGGGTTATGGGGGATGTATGATACAGAGTGAAAATGTTTTACACTGTATTTCAATCTCTTGTCACATTTGGAACGTGAAATACCGACATGTTCGGGTTCCACGTCTAGGTGAATGCTTTTAAAGAATTTGATGCTCGTGTCAGGGGTCCATCTTTCTCAGCTTCCTGGCTCACTTAATCTCATTTGAAGTGTTGTGTGCACAAGTCATAGTAACAGTAAACTACTCAAGCCTAGTAATTTTCTGGATAATAAATGTTGTGGTAATGCAAGCCACTAGAAATTTTTGTCATGAATAAAATGATTATACCCGTTTGAGAATGTTTGTGTTTTGAGGCTATCAAGATGTGATGTGAGGGGATGTAGTCATGAATGAATCTGTTACACTGCTTCTGGCTGAGTTTCTTTCAGGACATTTTCTCCATACTTGAGTTGTTTCAGTTCTGCTCTATCATTTTTTTCAAGTGTAAGCTTGGCTAATTTTGTAGGGAACTCGGCTTGGAAGTTCAGATCCGAAGGGATGCTTCAGTGAGTAGTAGTCATTTCCTTTTTTCTTTTTTTTTTCTTCATATATTCACCTGATTGTGAAGCATTGTGTGTATCATACCTTGATGTTTACATTTACCAGAAAAGTTTACCCTTGTGTGTATTTATACTTATATTTTAGACATTGGGCTTCCATCTGGAAAGTCACTCTTTCAACTCCAAGCTGAGCGGATTTTGTGTGTCCAAAGACTAGCTGCTCAAGCTACAAATGAGGGTATGTTTCATTGCAAGAGGTTCTTTATGGTCTCAAGTAATTTGGGTTTTCATATTAATTGCTATGTTATTCAGGTAACGCTGCTCCACTGCAAATACATTGGTATATCATGACCAGCCCATTTACTGATGAATCCACACGGAAATTTTTTGAAACTCATAAATACTTTGGTCTCGACGCTGACCAGGTAAGAAATTTTATATTCTATTTTCTAATATTTTGTGGATAGCCAAGGTGTTTTTGTTTATTCTGAAGAAAACAGATTTTTTGCTTACTTTTCTTAAGTTCAAACTCCCTTGATGCAGATAACCTTCTTTCAGCAAGGAACCATACCTTGTGTTTCAAAGGATGGAAGATTTATCATGGAAACTCCATATAGAGTAAGGCTTCTATTTGAACTGTAACTTATTCAGAAACCTCACTTTGTTTTACCTCCTTCTTTTAAGCCTTTATAAATCTCTTACTTACCTTAGATGTACTTAGAATATAACAAAAGGATAATTTTGTTTTACGATATTATATGCATGTGTGTAGCACACAGCCACTGTATTTCCCATTCCATAAAGATTGTGATATACTGCCTCCAACAAAAAAGGCCTATGATTAATGCCAGTTTATTCTTCTAAACCAGGTAGCTAAGGCACCAGATGGGAATGGAGGAGTATATTCAGGTATTTTCCCATTAGATTTGGCTGAGCTTAATTTCCTCAATTTTCCTTAACTGCTGATAAGACATTCCTTAATAAATTGGGCCCATATATTTTATCAGCTTTAAAATCATCAAGATTATTAGAAGATATGGCTACAAGAGGAATTAAATATGTGGATTGCTATGGAGTTGACAATGCACTGGTGAGATTTCTTCCTTTCTGATTTCGTGTGTAGTCTGCAAGCAGGGGAAAAAGAAGGGCAGACATTGAAATTCCTTCTCTTCCATTATTTGGTTGGTCAAGGAAGAAAATACTCATCTTTTTCTCCTCTCATATCTGCCTAAATCAACTGGAGTCTAAATGTTCTTTTTTAGAAAGAGTTGAAAGTTTTTCTTATAATGATTAGGTTGTTGAAAGCAGGTTCGTGTAGCTGATCCAACGTTCTTGGGATATTTCATTGATAAAGGTGTTTCAGCTGCTGCAAAAGTTGTTCGTAAGGTAATTGACAAGAATTTAACTCTCTCTCTCTCTCTCTCTCTCTCTCTGTGACACACACACACATACATTTGCTCCTGCTCTTGTATCTGAAGTGTATGGATTGTGATAGGCTGATAGAACTCAAATGATTTGATACGAGCTATGGTGCTTGCTCGGGTAAAGATATATTACCGTTTTATAGTGGATTTTAATGTATGTGTCAGAGTCTTTCATAGTTCAAAATATCTGTTGTGCGGCCTATGCATCTGTAGGGGAGAACTCATCAGAACTGGCTCATCTTCATCCATATGGGTATGAGTATATTGGTAAAGCCAGAAAAAAGATGGACGATATTTTGGACGAAACTATTTTACTGATATCAGTTTTTCACCTGTGTTTGTTACACATGAGTTCCGAAAGTTTGTATCGTTCCATACATAGAGTTTTTAGAACTATTCTGATATATCACATTTTTAGTTACTTCGGGTTTTTGGTTACAGGCATACCCACAAGAAAAGGTTGGTGTGTTTGTACGTCGAGGAAAAGGAGGACCTCTTACTGTGGTTGAATACAGTGAGATGGACTCATCTCTGGCATCTGCAATCAATCAAGAAACTGGACGTCTTCGTTTTTGTTGGAGTAATGTAATGTCTATTGTTACCTCTGATCTCATCATCTACTATTTCTTTCTTTTGAAATAACTACTTTGTCTTCTAAGTTCTACGCTTTTTTCTTTAGTGGATTGAATTATGAGTTATGGCAGCTTCGTGCTTTCTAAGTTATGGCAACTCTTGCGACATTGTGTTTTTCAGGTGTGTTTGCACATGTTCACCCTGGATTTTCTAAACCAAGTGGCTAATGGCCTTGAGAAGGATAGCATGTCTCTCTCTCTCTCTCTCTCTTATGGCCTTACGTTTGGAATTTCCAATCTTTAGTTTTCGATATTGTAACAATATTATTGTAAACATGCTTTTTTGAATGCAGTTACCATCTCGCTGAGAAGAAAATTCCTTCTATCCATGGACAGTCGATGGGATTCAAACTAGAGCAATTCATATTCGATGCGTTTCCTTATGCACCCTCAACTGCACTTTTTGAGGTGACTTCATTACCCCGTGTTTGCTCTAATCCCAACAATTTCCTTTCTTGACTTTGCAGTGCTAAGGATAGCATTTGTTTGCCAAATATTCAGGTATTGCGTGAAGAAGAGTTTGCACCGGTAAAAAATGCAAACGGGTCAAATTATGACACTCCGGATAGTGCCAGGCTTCTTGTTCTCCGACTCCACGCTCGTTGGGTAGTTGCCGCTGGTGGATTCTTAACACATTCAGTGCCTTTATATGCAACTGGTAACTCACGCACGCACTGTTTCTTATTTGCGTTCTAGTATGTGCATAAACGCAGGGGAAGGAAACAAAAATAAGGGAAAGTTGCACTGACACAGTTGATGTTGAGTGCAGGTGTGGAGGTGTCACCTCTTTGTTCGTATGCCGGAGAAAACCTCGAAGCTATTTGCCGTGGACGAACCTTCCATGCCCCTTGCGAGATTACATTCTAATCTGTTTACAGAATCGTGGTTTTTTTTACCCTTAATTTGTGCGGCTGTATTTTACTAAAACCTAGAGTGTGAGTTAGCTCCGCCTATATCTTTAACGTTTGTGATTGATTAGTGGATGATTTGCTGTGTATAATATGAAGGTCTTTGAGATATACATGTATTTTTGTCATGCTTCAGTTCTATGTCTCGGCGGCCACCTTTGTTTGCTTTGTCAAGGTGTGAATTGCTACCCACCTATAGGTGGTGGGGTTTCCCTACCAACTAGAGGGCTTAAGGCGTGCTTAATTTGACATTTTTGTGAGGATAATGAATCATTCACCCACTTCTACTCTCTTGTACATCTAATCATTTCCATGTCTTGCATAGTTACAAGTCTACGCAATTAGGCTTAGCAAAGTCAGTTAATCAACTTTTTCCCATGTGGGACTCTCTGGCCTCTTAATATTTTTCCGATGAATCATGACGCATGAAAATAGTCATCGACAGTGCAAATTTCTCTCGTTGAGTTTGGAAAGCTTAGTTAAGACACGTTGAATAAATCAAAAGAAAACCAAGAACAAAATTAAAAACGAAGAGTGTGGAAGGTAGAACGGACAGCGCAAAATTTACTCCCCTTTTATTATTTGGTTGTTTTTGTTTTATTTTTGAAAAGCTTGATTGGCCTCAATTGGAAATGATTTTCTAGATAATCCGAATAAGTAGGGTTTTATGAGTTTTAGATCTACGTGGATGCCCTACTAACCGAGGGCTTATGACGTGCTTAATTTGACCTCAACACAACATGATGAGCCCGTCAACTTTAGCTATTCTTGCGTTGCGTAGTTACAAGCGTTCCAATGTGGGATATCTAGCATAACAAATGTTTAGCAAAAAGAGTCAAGGATAATCAGCCAATATTCACTCTAACGCGCAACGATTGTAACTAGGAATGTAATTTAATCATGGATTGGAAGAACCATCCAGGTTACAATGCATTTTTCTCCAGCTACTCCGAGAAGCTTATCGTCCAGTTAAACCATCTCCGTCGAGCCGCTGAGTCGTTGAAAAGGATGGGCAAGGAAAGCAAGAGCTAGATTCCGACAAAGGTCGCAGGGTGTCAGACCAAAACCAAGTGTTTGAAGTTTCGTATTCTCCACGCAGGTTCAGTGATATGGCGATACCCCAAGTAGTGGCTCCATGCCGGCCAATTGATGCTGCAGGAACTTATAAACTGATTCAGTTGTTGTAGCAGCTACACGAACAACCACCCCGATTCCCTGCAGAAAAAATAACCATTAACTCGCATTTACCTCAGATGGTTGCGAAATTCAGTAGAGAATCATGCAGCATCGTATGATCACTCCAATGTTCTAAAAATGGAAAACATATTTGAAGCAAGAACATGAAAAGAGAGTTAGATGTGGGTCTTGAACCGTGTCATAGAAATTACTAGATTTATCTTATTGAGGAAATATGAAATGCGCAATATGTGGCAAGCATTGGTTTTACACCAGAACATGAACAGGCCCTTAGCAGCACCGGACCAATATACCTTAGGACCAAAAACACTTGAAGAAGCAATAAAGCTTGGTTTGGCGAAGCGATTATCAGAATTTGTTTTTATTTGGTGACCTGACGCGGTGGAAGGAATGTGTAATTGGTCAGACATGATCCTCTTCACGTTTTCTTGAACTAGGTTCTGAATGTGCTTGATCTTTGGCCTATAATGAAGCAACCGCAAGGTGTAACATTGATTTATTCACGTAATTACTGCCATTCCATATCAAGATGAGTAAATTAAAACCACTGTAAAACATTTGATAAAGGTTTAGGAGAAGATGCAAATGGTCTATGAATCATGAAATACTCACCCCAAGAGTACAACCATTGCAATTACTTGGTAGTCCTGCATTCGTTCAGCAATTGAAGAGATATTTCCACGCTCGAGGTGCACCTGTCCTAAAAACATTGAACCATCTGAGAAAAAGAGGAAGGGAAGACAACAGGACTCACACAAGCATTCATTTCTCAAAATCCTAGTGCAAGCATAAAAACAAGTTTGATTATTGAACTGGACCAGGAGATACATTTGCATATATGTACATGGGGATGAAACGAAAGACAAGCAATACATATTACATCAATGGGCATATTCAGGCGTTTAAATTTAGCAAGTTGATAAAGTTAGAAATATTGTGCTTAGAGGTTGAAACAGGGCATCCCATCTTTAAATCTAGTCCTCAAACATATAGGGAACCTGAAATATGCAGCTCCCAAATTCCAAGAAAACTTATTGGTAGAATTACCATCCCTAAGAACTAAGCGTTTGGATGTTTAGACTGGAAACAAATAAAAAATGAAATGAAAAGAAAAAGATTACCGCGTCCAGAAACAGAGGTTCATCATTTTCCATAAATATGTGGTTGATGCTCTTGTAAAGATCGAAATCCCATTTTTCTCCACTTTCGTGACGCCCACTGGTAATCCAATCCACAATGACCAAACTTGAGTCGGAAACTACCCTAAAGACTTGTTTCTGAGAGTATCTTGCCGTGGAAAAACATGTCACAGGATCAGGAATGACCGCCAAAAGGGCATTGCTCCCAACCCTTGCCTACTGCACAGAAACGTGATTTCCAGGATTCACATGTAATGTAGCCATTGACAGAAAGCATGAACTAATCCGAACAACACATATTTAGCTTCAACTGCGTATTAAAAACGTCCCTAAAATGTGCGGCATCAAACTACTATATGTTTGATTAGGCTAAATTCTTACCTCCAAGACTTGTTCACAGCACTTGAATCCCACAGACTTGTAAACCTATGCAACAACCAAAATCCATTTGAGAAATCCATATATTCCAGACACAGTACATTTCATTGAAGTCAATCTTCCACATACGAATAAGGGAATGAAGATAATGAATCCGCGAGATGTTATTGGCACTCCAAAATCGTTATCTTGCACTCCTCCCTAGAGAAAAAAAAGTAAGAACGACGCGCAAAATGACTATTCTGAAGTGCTAATTACGGTTCCCTAAAATCCGAGGAAGAGATTTCGTTTTTTAAGTAACCTTAGTGGAAGCTTGGGTTGTTAAGACAGTGGTGCAGCCATCTCCAATGTTAAACTCACATGAAATAGAATCTCCCTAAAACAAGAGAACAAGTTCAAAAAAATAAAATAAGAATAATAATAATAACCCAGAAAACAAAACGGATTACAATTCACAAGCAAATACAGATTGATGAACAAAAAAGCACATACAGAAACAATACCACCACCATAGGTGAGGTTGTAAACCCAAACAGCATCAGTTTTGGAGGGACCCACCTTAGGAAACATCAAAATTAACACCCCAATTGGATCATTTCACATTATTTTCATCAAAACATGAAATTTGATCTGAAAATTTTGACAAAAACAGAAGAAGAATAATGAAGTGGAGAAAAAAGATGAGACCTTTCTGGGGATGATGAACTTGAGAGGATACTTTGAGAAGCATCTTGTCACTGTTGACCTTCCTCCCACTTTTTCCACCTCCACCCTTCCCTCTCTCTCCATCTCTCTCTCTTTCTCTCTCTCTCTAGAGCTGTAACCTGTGTACAAAACAACCAAAGGCTGAATAGTGATTAGTGAATAGGAAGCACGTGTTCACAAATTGGGTCGGGTCTTTCGTTCCGGTTTAAACCGGTGGTAAATTGGTTTTTTCCCATTTTCTTTGTTCTTTTAAAAATCATAAAACAAAAACCCTTCTTTTGAGTTCTTTCTCGCTAAGTCGCTCAGTCTCTCTAGGGTTCTACCTCAAGCTTCCACAAGCTCAGAACTCGTAAGGTACTCTCTCTCTCTCTCTCTCTCCTCTCTCTGTCTAATGATTGATTTTGGACTTGTGAATCAGAAATGTTGTATATTTGTTTGCCTAATTGAATTTCCATCGAGTTCCGAAATATGGCTCTTCTTTGTTTGTTAGTTTTGTTTACCTTCTGTTTGGTTGCTGAGAAAATGGGATCGGAAAATATCAAACTTTAATGATTTCTTGCTTCCTGTCTGTTCTGCTTTTGATTGTTGACAAAGTCTGAATCTTGTGAATAAACATACCCCTGAAACACAAAACCAATCTCGGAATCATTTGGATGGAATTCGGGGATTCAAATTTCGCTCAACCCTCAGAAACCGAGAAAATTTGGATATTGTTACCTCCCAATGATAGAAATTTACAATGAGTAGGCGGAGATATATTTTTTCGATAGGAAATGATGTGCAAGTAGAGGGATGATGGTTCTTATTTGTTACCGAAAGTGTATTGATTCAAGCCTTCTTGTTTGGCTAGCTTTAACGTTCCTCTATTTACATTAACAAATGCATATGATAGGTTTTGTGCAGATTCCGGATCCAGATAAGCGATTGTGAGAAGTGAAATGGGTTCGTCATAGGTTGATTTCCATTTGTTGGGGAACCGGCTCTTGTGCAAACCTTGAAAAGATGAGTTTGATCTTAAGATTACGGAATCATTTGCCTAATGGGTTCTGCAGAAGACCCCTTATTTCTTCCCTTGGAGCACTGAATTCTGGTAGATTAAATGGGTTTTGTCGAAACTTTGGTCAACCTGCAAGGCAAGAAGAGGAAGAGGAGGAAGAAGTGGAGATTGACCAGAGGAGACTCCCTGCTGATTATGATCCTGCTACATTTGATCCCACAGAGCATCGTAGTCCTCCAACTGATCGGGTTTTTAGGCTCGTAGATGAAATATCATCACTCACATTGGTTGAAGTTGCTGAGCTGGGTTCCATTTTGATGAGAAAAAAGGGAATGACGGAGCCGCCAGTTGTGGGAGTTATGAAGCCAGGAGCTGCTGGACTAGGATTGGCAATGAAGGGACCGTCAGCAGCTAAGGAGGAGAAGAAACCAGAAAAGACTGTATTTGAATTGAAATTGGAGTCATTTGAGGCAGCGTCTAAAATAAAACTGATCAAGGAGGTAAGGAGCTTCACCGACTTAGGACTCAAGGAAGCAAAGGATTTAGTGGAGAAGGCGCCAGCGGTGCTAAAGACAGGAGTGTCAAAGGAAGATGGAGAACAACTGGTAGAGAAGCTGAAAGCTCTTGGCGCAAAGGTTTCTCTTGAATGAAATAAAAAAGACGATCCAGATGTACTCCTCTTCGAGATATTGCGAGATTAGTCAATGTTTCCTTGGGAATACCAGGTAACCAGCTTTTCGGAGTTTTATCAATCCTTATGAATCACATCTCAGATTTCCTCCAACTGTTTTATGTTCAGAAATTTGCTCGCGATTGATTTCTTTACTGTATTGATATCTATTCTGGTAAAGCTGAGATTTTGATTAAGAATGGTCCGCAGATGAAGGCCGATTTCCATAATTCTTGGACCTTTGTTTAGTTTCTTCATTATTAATCATTTATATGTTAGCATGTGCGTGCGATTCATAGCGTTTATAATAATGGGAAATTATTTCCCTTGTTCCGTTTTTTTCTTTATGCGCGGCTTGCTCAATCCTCCTTTGATTTGTTCAATTCAACAACTAGATAAAAAGATAGGAGTGCATTGGAAGAAAAGTGGAGTGCGGAAATCACTTCCCTCAACTCCTGATAGCGCTTACTCACGTGTTTTGAATATGGATGTACTGGTTTGCTACACATTGCCAAGCTGAAATCAGCAACCTTTGGCTCTTCTAAGTTTCTAATGCTTGATTTATGTTAATGCTTAGAGATTGAAAACTAATTATTGACCAAAAACAAGATAATTAGAAATCTAAATTATTAAATGGAATTGAGATATACACAAGAAAATGATGAACTAAAAAAAATTGTACTTTGTCTTTCACAAGGGGGAGATAATCACCCATACAGAATAGCTGTAGCTAAAAAGTAAGAGAAGAACTGGGTAATATTAGTTCTTGGACTTCAGAGATTTTCACATCTCAACTGGGACAAATACCAACGATGTTTCTGTCTTCATGATCAAGGTCGGATCTCTCACTGTTCTCCGAAAGAATTAACGTTGTTGAGTCCTTCCATTTGGATTTTACCGTTGCTGCAGAGTACGTTGCTTCGTCTCCAGATTCTTTACCTGTGAAATGATAGATTTGCTTTACATTATAATCTTGGTCTGCTCTACGAACTGATGTTGGTATACAATTAAACAATGATGGAATATAGGCCAAGGAAGGTTGGTTTTGAAACGTTTGCGACCAGGCAGCAAATCCCCTGTAACTCACCTTTGGTAGACAGGAGCTAATGCTTCACTAGTCACTACGATGAGACGGGTGCTTTGAATGCAAATGTTAAATAGTTAAATGTTATAAAAAGAGAATCGGTGGAGACATTTTTTTTCGCCACTGCGGTAAACCAAAATACTATATCTTTATTCACCTCACTTATAAACTATAAAAAAATTGTTGAGAGAGTATGAGATATTTCAGATCTTTTAGCTATTCAATTTTAATTTTTTTATTTAAAACAATCTAGCAATTAAAACACTTAAAATATCTCAAAACTATAAGCCCTTATAAACTTTAATATAATATGTTAACTTTTTTTTTTTTGGGTCAGACGATAGATTAACTATAAACCCTTATAAACTTTAATAAAATATGTTAACTATTTTTTTTTTTGGTCAGACGATAGATTTATTATATTAGATGTTATCTGAAGGAGCCGACATGGTTCAAATCCACACTGTGGTATAAGAGCAACACTCATCTCCACCATTGTAGTAGAAGATCACTTGTTACTATGTTAACTATCTTATGTTTACTTATTGGAACGAGCAAATTTAAACCTTTCCCGAAATTTCTTTTTCACATAATAAGGACTCAAATTAAATTATTTAGCTAATTTCCCTTTGTTGTCTATTCTCCACATGACACATCCCGACCCGGGATGTCCACTAGGACTCCGAATCGAGCTGTGCTGGCCGACACCTGGAAGGTGACGAAGCCATAAAGTGTGATAATGTATAAAATGTGAATAAATTAAAACCTAAAAGTCCCTAAGTACACGAGTGCGCGGTGAGCGGATCTGGACCCATTTCACACGTGATACAAAGCATAGGTATAGTGCAGTAAGGTGATACAATGATCATACCATCACAAGAAAACATTTGTACCGAAAAGTGCCACGAATCCCTGTCGATACGGAACTCTGCTGCTAGAACCTGGAGGGGTACAAAAATAGAAAATGTAAGTGAGTGAAACAAAACTTTTCAAACCAATTCCAACTACCAAAGGTAGTAGCCCCTCAACGTAATACCTGCATAATTTCCCGGAAAATAAAAGGCGTGACTATAAATCAATACCATAACCAAAATAATAGTCTCACAGTTATACCGTGTCAAATATCTCAAAAAAAAATAAGTACTCAGGTGAAATAAATCAATATGAAATGGCATATTAGCCGGGTCCACCTATAGTGGCCTGTACGGCTGAATTAATAGCTCATCAACATGCTAGCCGGAGCCACCTCACGTGACCTGTACGACTTATCCATATCTCATCATATATGCTAGCTCATCACGTATCTCATCATATATGCTAGTTCATCATATATCTCATCATATATGCTAGCTCATAAGTCGGAGTCACCTTTAGTGACCTGTACGACTTATCCATAGCTTAATAAGTATACATGCACACGAGTCGGAACCACTTAAAGTGGTCTATACGACAAGACTGGGTATAAATAAATACGCTCAAGTACTACGATCACGTGAATACGGTGCGAATAATCACGAGTCACCTACGAGTCAGAACCACCTATAGTGGTTTGTACTACAAGATTGTGCACCTACCTTAGATCCAAGGTAAGCGCAAGGTGCGGGAGGTGAACATCACGTGAAGGACTGTACCCTGGCCACAGGCGAGAGCACTAACACCAAGGTGCAAGTTTATGAGCTCTAACTGTATCTATTGTCACATATACGATTCATGAGCAACCTGTAAGACAGTGTCGGAGTTGCCTATCATTGCAACCTACATGACAAGGTCGGAGTTTCCTAAACATACATGTAGTCATACCATAACCTCATCATTTCAACTAATACCATAAACTCACCTGAACTTACCTGGGTATCCTGCGTTCACCTTTGTACTTCAAAGCGTTCATAATAATTGTGTGCAGGTAATATACATATAGATAAACCACGATGAAATTTAATACTCAACCACGTTATAGCATTTCCAATTATACATATATATATATATATATATATATATATATATATAAAGTGGCATAAAAATGCATAAACTAACGCCCTACTCCCGAATTATTTATTTTCGGGAATAATTATCGGTGACAAGCCCAACTAGACACTAGTTTAATTAATTATCATTACTTACGCTTCCTTACTTCAAATTCTTGATTCTTTACACATTGATTTATGACCAACATTTAACCACCAAATCATAAGGTTAAATCTCATATTTTCCACAAATGTCTGTCACGCTGCTCAATTCCCTAAACAAGGCTATTGTCTCAATTATTGTATGGCTACATCTAACGTCTCATTAGACTGCCTACGTACCCTAAACAGGGATCAAGTCATACGTAGTTCACATTAGTACTTCACAGCATTCACAGTAATTATATGCAGCAATCAATTTATAACTG